TTAATGAAACTGGGCAATTATCCAAATTTTGAGATGGGCGTTGTGGGACCTTTCCGTGATTTTCTGCACTATGTATACTGTGAGTGATGATCGTACAACGCCTTCTCACTAACCTAACCTGTGAGGTCACCAGCAGTGCCTGCGATTATGAGCGATGAAATTGTTCAACCAGATCTGGGCTGTGGCATCCCACCATCCCCTTCTGTGCTGTCAACTTCAGCTTCTGTGCTGTCAACTTCAGCTTCTGTGCTGTCAACTTCAGCTTCTGTGCTGTCAACTTCAGCTTCTCTGCCGGCCGTAGACTTTCTTCCTGACTTCACCCAGAATGTAACCACTGAGGCCGAGTTTCCATCTGCGCCATCTGGCACGACCGAGTATAGCGATCCATTCTGGGCTAGCCCAGAATTTGACGCCATTCTGGTTAAAATGCTGAATGATTCCCAAGGTGGATTGGTCATACAGGAGAGACATAGTACTTTGGCCACCACTGCGCTCCCCACCTCATCTCTCACTACAGGGTCTCCCACAGTAGCTGCTGCGGCCTTGTCTATACCTGATGGGTCTTCCGTTATAGTTTCAGCTGTGCTTGATGCAGCCCCTAACAGGTCTCCTAGGGCGCCTCCATCGTCTCTCACTGTACCATCAGCGGTGCATCCTGCCCTACTTTCTAATGTACCTTCTACGGCTTCTGCTATGACACCTGTCATCGAGCCCGTACATGCAGCGAGCCCAAACATGGCAGATCCCCTAAATGCCGAGCATGAATGCCGCAGGACAAGCCGGAAGTCTAAACCTTCAAAGCGCAATGATGTTGCCAATTCAATCGGAATTCTGGGAAAGGCTTATCGAGGAGTCCTCAAGTCGTAGATCCGGCAGAGTTTGATGCATGGAGTGATACCCACTTATACTATCCATGATCCATCCCACGTATCCTATATACAGGTATCTATGTCTGCATGAAAATGTTAGGACTCTACTTTGGTTCAAGTGCCGCCTCCCACCCTGGGTCGCAAAGTCCATCGGTCAAGATGACGTTGACGCTTACTGCAGATTGCACTGCTAGTCTGCATGCTTAGCAAAGCTCGTTATGTCTAGTATTAGTATGTAACATATCATGACAATGAACCTCATCAAAGTATTGTCATTGTTAAATTGATAGAATCCGACGCATATGCAAAGATGTAATGAAAAGAGAAATTTCGATCAAAGATGAATTTCCAACCAAAAACTGCGCTACTTAGTATGCCAGGCAAGCTCTTCGTTAACAACCCGTTGCCAATCCACCATCACCTTCTCAAAAGGAGGATTAAGCTGCTCTCGCTCACATGTGGGGTAGAGCTTGAGATTTGTCTGGAGACAGCTGGTAAAAAATCTGCGAAATGAGATTAATTGTCCAATAGAGTCTGTAAAGACTTACTGCGTAGCATAACCTGGGGCGTTACGATCTGGCACCCTGATCTCACATAAGAGCAGGTCAATATACTGTTATAACCCAGATCCGGGGGTTACTTGCATGGTGGGATTTTGATCCGACACCAACTTGCCTTCCTTCAACAGCACTGGGTCCACAGTAGGCGCAGTGGTATCCTAGACTGATGCATTCCAGCATAGAGCAACTCCCGTCTGGATGGAACGAACTAAGTAGATGCATGTCTTTGAGACCCTGCCTGCGTGTCTGAACCGCTGTGGAGGACATAGATTTTGGCTTTGTGGGTGATGAGCTGGGCTTTGTGGGAGGTGAGTGCACGGATGGTGCTTTTGAAGGTTGTGGCAATGTACGCGAAGGGGGCGATGCCACACCCGGTGGTGAGGGCCTTGCCATTGGGGTGGGGAGGTGGGCGAGTGAGGAGGTCGACTATGGGGGGATTAGCATCATTCGATCGAAGTGAAAAGAGACATACGGACTGTCTTTGAATATTCGAAAGTCTGACCCTCGCTTGGGGGGCCGGAGAAATCACCGTAGTTGGAGTGTTCGCGGGCAAAACCTGCGGCTGCGATTGCGTCACTGTAGACAGCAGATGCACAACCGCCTGCGACCGCGGTTCAGACAGGGCAGGTGGGGTTGGGGACGGTGAGCTTAATAGAAGCACCAGCCTGAGTGGATGCATCGAGCTACACGATCTATGCTATAAAAATGAGTCTAAGAAGTCGAGGTAGTGGATGGAACCGTCATCGAGAATAGCCAAAGAGTTAATTTTCCATTATGCAAAGCGAAGGTCGACGTAGACAGAGTAGAGTTTGAAGAGCCAGTCGGTGAGGACATCCTTCTCACGTGCTGGGAGTCTCGACTCTACGGAAATTTGGTCATGGCAAGGGGGACCGTTTTACCCCTTGCCATGACGAAGCTGCCCTTTACTAAAAATATCAATCAACGGGAGGGAGAGGGAAATTCTGTTGAGGAATGCTATTGTATATCGGACAGAGCTGCCTCGAAGCATCTAACGTTGATCGTCAGACCCGGTCTAGTTCATAGTGCTCGGTGCTTACTATTGAGGGGCTGCGAAGCCGCCACATCTTCAGGAGCCTCTGCGAATACTATAGCCAGTCCGCTACGAATCCAATGATTAATTTGAGTCCAGGCTCAGTGAAAGGAGCAACTCACGCGGATAGATGCCAATCGATATGGCTTCACAAAGACAAAAAGTTATTGCCAGCTAAAAAGACATAGATATGACACTTACCAATGTGACAGCCAAGGCCCAGGGTTGTCGGTGATGAACCGGATCGTTACACGATCACCGGTGTTGCCAGTGGTCACTGTGTCATGCATGACAGGATCGATGTAGTTATAAGCAGTACTTCCAGCACTCCTGATAACAGCGAAACTGTGCTACAAACCAAATTATTATTAGTCCATCGAGTGTATGTAGATGACATGCCAAGACGTACCCCATGAAGATGGAATGGATGCTGCAAAGACATGTCAGTCAACGACATACATGTCATTTTGAAATAGACTCACAGGACCCCCAGTGGAATTATCAGGATTGAACGTAAGTTCGATAACCTTATTCCGTGGCAGAGTGTATACGGAGCCATTGGGCGCAAGATCCGCAGCCGTCATAGCACCGCTCAGTAACTGTAATAGGACAGGGACACTAGGAGAAGTATACTGGATGTTATTGATGAGGACTACACAGGGTGCACCTTTTGCCAATTGCTCTCATCCAGGCACTCTAGCATGATGCAGGCAGGGGTTCGGTCATCAGGAAGGTGCACGGGATTTTTGAGCTGGTTGTAGTGGCATTGATCAAATGAGATTCTACCCAAAATACGACGTGCATCAGCCGATTCGGATTTGAGGTACGCGAAGGTATCCTTGATCCGAGCGTTATCGGAAGTTGTAACACAGTACAACTCGGTGTCGAGGACGACGAAGAATGTGTGGACCATCACCAGACTCAACTGTGGGAGACGCGATACGTCCATTAGATGTAGAGACATCAATATGCGAGCACGAACTTGTTTAGATTCGCGACATGTAAGGAACGATGACTGCGTAGCTGCAGAGCTGCAGAGCGAGACAAAGGAGATCAAAGGGCAGTTGAACTATAGGTGTGGTGTCCAATAGTAATTTCAGCGAAAAATCCAATTTTCATAGTCCGTTTCACTTTTGGATCAGACCACACCCCAACCCAGCATACTTCAAGGACTTTCCGAATGACGAGATATGAATCTTGAGAAACTTTGGAAATAGACAGAAATACGTCTCTCTGTTGTTCAAGGAAAGTCGATCTCACAAGTGAGGAAGTTTCGGGGTTGATGAAGGAGAGAATAAAAAAGACGTAATAAGTGCGGATATCTGACTGACAAAATTCAGATAGGCCAAGGTCTACAGATGTCGTAGACACATACCGGGTCTTTCGAGCACATCCTCTGCGTCTCCTTTCCCTCTCCTCCTCATATGCACTACTTTTGCCAACGTCTATATTTTTTTAATTCAGATCTGCGATCGTACGAAAGCCAACGCACCTTGATGTCCCATGGGAAAGCTTCATAAAGTGTCTTCCGTTCCCTCCCACCTCCGAAGTGAGAAACAGTGTTCAACAGTTTTAATGAGACGAGAAGAAGCTCATTGGAACCAGAGAAATAAGAAGTAATTTTGCGCATCCATTTTGGCGACAAGAGCGCTTTGATGATTGGAGTGCCATGTGAGTGGTATGGGAAATGAGACGATAACAAAGTAAGGACCGAGGATAGTAGACACAAGGAGTGATAGACTGGACGACTAGTGCATTGCAACGTCAAAATGCCGAGAGGAAGAATTGAGAATGATCGCACTTGATTCGTACCCTCCCATATCTCAAAAATATCATGAGCACCTGGCGAATTCTCCATCCATTGCACTACAAGCGAAAGTCGCTTATCCTGAGGAGCAACGGTCTCTCGTGACTTGACAGACAGAGTTGAGCGCAACGCAGACAGGGCTACATGACTGAGTGAATATTGTTCGCAGTGATGATTGTAAGCTCGTGCACCTTCTATTTGAACATTCTGGTCTTGATTCTGCAGTGCGGCACGTCTGACATCGATCGCACTCGAGAATTCATACGCCTTCCGCGAGGTTTGCTTAAGTTTTGCGCGTTTGTGAGGACGCTCTGATTTGTTTTGAGGCATGTTCGGGTCAATAACTCGAGTCCATGAATAAGGAGACCAAGACGCGCCGGCAGCTTCGTCATGGCAAGGGGTAAAACGGTCCCCCTTGCCATGACCAAATTTCCCACCCTTTAGGCCTCAACGTCTACCATTATGACAATCAATGTATTAGCCACAACGACGGGCAACATCGCACCCACCTGTGACGATAGTTTAAGCTGCCATTTAAGCGACAATTCCTCTCAATCTCCTGAATATTTCCCGAGTCGGACAGCAATGTTTGTGACTCAATTATCCTCTGCCAAGGATATCAGCCAGCTCATCAAGACCCTTGACGAACTTCGAAATGATACAATTCAGAAGTACTCTGATCATCGTCGCTGCTACTACTTTTTGTTTTCTAATCACTTCCTTGTGTCGCTAAGGTCGCCCTCAGGCACCTCGAGGATCTCGCGCCCTTCTCTGGCTGTGCCCATGTCCTGACAATGGCAACATGGTGTGTTGTTCACTTAGGGCTCCTCTGGGTATTTTCCAGCGTTTCTGAATCACCCATCTATTCAAGGCTGTAACGGCAGCTACCAACTCTCAGCCATACTATAGGATTAGGAAAGAAGAAGAGACATAACGAGTTGAGAATAGCACGGCAAGGGGGTTTACACATCACAGGTCCATATAATACTGGATATCCAAAATACTAGACAGTGTCTTATCCACCAGTCACTGAAGATCAGCACCACGACTCGCCCACTCACTAAGAAACGTACCCCTTCGCATTCCTCGTGTTCATGTTCATTTTGTGCTTTTTCATCTGCCTATACAGCTGACTCTGCAGCACGTTCATGCGGACAACAAAATACTCAAACCCACGCACCGATGATCATGTGCACCCATTTGAGCTTGCTGAGAAATTCGGTCCTTGATGATGTACTCATATGTGGTGAGCAGAACTTGGAACTGACCCATCTGCAGTTCGCCTTGGAGGTCGCGACGTTGTGTGGGGTTGCCCTTTCATCTTCACCATCGGCGCCCACTTTGCAAATTCGCCGAACCAGCTCGTCATCGTTGACAGTGGCACGATGATAAGATAAGGCCCGGGTTGTCTCTTGACCTCGATGAGGAATGTGAGCAGCGAGATTTGAACATATTGTTTTTCCGAGACCCTATGCTCGAATGAGATAAGATATAGAGAATGCGAAAGCCCGTGCTCACCATCTCATCTGCAAGGATACCTTGTTGTAACGACTGACCATCGACTGCAGGCCCTTCAGTTGATGACCTTGAGCTGGCTACCGATAAGAATACCAGGCTGCTTCGAGACCTCCGAAATGCGATGTGCAACAGCATAATAGTCTACCCTGCCCTTGTCGTCCTGAGCATCTGCACTGACCTGGGTGCTAACCCTAAGAGCAATGAAGCTGTGAATGAAACATGAGGATCATGAGACACACTTTAAAAAGACGAGTTGAAACTGGACATTTGCCCAGCTCCACTTTCTTAGCTTACAGTGCATTGGTGATTGGATGCTGAAGCACTGATTGATCTGAATGGTATTTCTCGTCAGCGATAGTCTAGGTTCTTGATTCTGCCAGGCGAATGGCCACTCACTTACCTGCAATTTAAATACCACAAAGTTCTCCTGCAAATCATCAGGACAGAGCGGCAGGACAACTCCGCTATACAGACTAAGCCATCCGAAACACTGTCAGCAGCATTCTTATAAGTCAGGTGTCGTGCAGCGATCAAATATCTGAAGGGGATGGTGAGACCGCGCAAACACATAGTCAGGCCCGCTCACCTTCGATAGTAAGTTGGAATAGCACCAAGACTCGCACGCTAATCAGAGTGGAGGTAGAGCAGCCACAACACGAATTGGATATGCCGGGTTTCGCGGCCATTGGCACTGGTTATTTCCCTCCCGTCCACATGTTGCTAGCACGGTTTCCCAGCGACTCTGAGTCATGGTTAGGGCAGAAAACGCAGAGAGTGCATGGAACGTGTATCTGTGCAGCGAGCAGCGAGCACTTAATGAGGAATGTCACAGATGACAAGGTATCCGTGAAAAGGGTCAGGAGAGGAGCAAGAAGTGTATCATAAGTCGATGCAATGAGGGTGTTGCTAGACAGAGGTGCGAGTTCGGCGAGGGGGGCATATTTGACCTGTGTATCTGTGGTCTGCTGAGAATTTGCATTGCGATTCGTTTGGGCGAGAAAGAACCCGGGACGAGATAGACATACTTTGGATGCGCGTAATAACACTCGGCGGAAATTGTGCATATGGATGCATCTATACAACAGTATCAGTTCGGTTCCGATCGAGAAGAAGACCTCTAACCTTTGCTTTGTTGCGAGAAAGGCGGACCATTTCATCGCTATGTTGACATCCTTGGGCAGGCTGCCAAGAACATTAGACCTTTGTGGATTTGTAAAGACACAAGAAATACTGACAGATCAGTCCAACAGAATCGATGGCCATGGTTCCACCCTGGCTTTTTCTGATCATATACAATAACGAAGTTTTCAGCTCCAGCATCGTCTGCATTCTACAACAGCTCTCGAAACACTGCATGCCAATCATTCGTTCTTCAGACCACATAGTAGTAGTTCCAAATGCACCCGTGAATTCTTCTGGATAACGGGCAAGGACTTTATCGACAAGATCTCGCTGGTTGACTTCCACTGCTGTGACCTCCAAACTGAAATGTGAGCCCCGAGAGAGCAATTCTTGGGCACCAACAACACCAGCTCACCCCGGGCCCACACACTACCGCCACTGCAGGACAACCTCGAGATGTTCGTCAAAATGCGATAGTAAGACTAAGCTAGCTCTGCTTTCAAGTCAGTGAGCCTCGCATCGAAAACTGCTGCTGTCGTGGGTAGGGCACAAACGCCAGAGCTCGACATTCGTGATCATTGCCGGGCGAGGGACCACAGTAAGAATTTCATCGAGGACACATGCTGGCTGCACTCGGATTGACTGCGGCACTGAGGAGAGACCCATGAAGACTCAAGAGACCCATGATCCGCAGAAGATGATTTGTGGTAGCATGAGGCGATGGAAGTTTTTACAAAAAACATCGCTACTACTGAGCCCAGCCCAGCCGCTCCCGCTCCACACCAAAATCACCTTGACGCTGAGAAGATATTAGGATCTCAGTCTGACACAGTGACGCAAGAGGATCAATGTTCAAACTGTGACTCACCAGCGTGGGCAGCAGATGAAAATACCACTGGCTATTTTTTAGGTGTATGAACTTACAATTGTGGTTCCCAATATCTCTTCATTAGCATACACAACTTGTCAGGAGTATATGTCAGTGGGATCAGTGGGATGAGCCTCTGTTGTGCCCTATCTATTATTAGCCTCCTCCTCCGTTGATTCCACCACCCTGGGAATTTTTTTTCAGCAACTCTGGTGCTCCGTGGAGAGGGGCCAGTTTCCTCCTATGCACACGAGGAATATGCAAATCACATAGGATATATGAGAATAGTCTCAGGATTATTCTTTACGATCAACAGTTTCCTCCTAGTAGGTACCACTAGTACCTAGCTCCAGCGTGCTGCAGCATGTTTTTCATATTTTGAGGACTTTCATCAGGCAACTGTCTCAAATTTTTCATCAAGCTTCTTCAAAATAAGCATTGCGATGGAGAAAAAAATGCTGGAGGAGGAGATTTAGGCGAATCTAAAAAAGGACCTTGGAGTGCGGGGCATACTCCTCGGATTAGAACCCCTAGATTTTTGATGATTTTGTTGCTGGGGAGTGGAGCGAGAGTGTATTGGTATTGGGGGGATTTTGTTGATTTTGCTTGACTTTGAGTTGTAGTCTGGTGGGGGGATGTTGGTCATATTACTGTATGTGAGCGAGAATTGAGACACCGAGAGAATATGTTCCTGATCCTAAGCATTAACTGAGACGACGAGACGACGAGACACCGAGAGAATACGTTCCTTATCCTAAGCGAAGCTAACGAGACACCGAAGCCTAAACTAACGAGACACCGAAACCTAAACTAACGAGACACCTAACGGCAAGCTAACATGGGTGGGGGGTGGGGGGGACTTGAATTTGTCTTGGTTGTATTTCCTTGATTTGATTATGATCATGCGGTTGGTATATTTGGATATGAATTCGCTTGATTTGAAGTGCGGAAAGGTGAGCGGATTATACTTATTGTATGCGGATGCTTCATTTGCTCAAGGATCAGGTATGCAGATGATGCATCGGATTTGTTTGATGTTGCCTTGACTTTGCTTTATTTCGCGTTTTTTTGCTTATAGCGATGGCAGGATCTTGACTTCATCGTACTATGACTAGGTCGGGATCTTGTTGTATCTTTGCTTGATTCTAGTCATTGCTGGGGTGGCGCTTGTCTTGGTCGATGCGTTGGTGGAGGTCAGAATGTTGTTTGTATTTGACTTCATTTTGCTTGATTTTTGCTTGATTTTTGCTATTGTATCATTTTTCTTATTTAATTGCTGCGTTGTTGCTTGATTTCGGTCACGCAGGCCAAGGTCAGGATCTCGTATTGACTTGTCTTTATTTTGCTTGATTTTTGCGATTTTATTGCTATGGTGTCGGGTATATTTACTTGTTTGATTGCGCTGATCTGGCAGGATGGATAGGGGTGGGAACTTTCCTTATAAGGACGTCGTGATGTAAGTCGTAGCACGAATTTGTGCGAACGTGGCTGTGGTCGCGGAATGTCTTTATGTCGTGATCTGACGGAGATATGGGCAAAACAAGCGCAGCAGGGACTCTTTTACGTCATACATTTTCGCACTCAGCAGGGACTCCCTGTAAACCGGAATAGGGGCAGGGATTTCCTTTTTCGAGCAGGGACTCCCCATATATGGTTAGTAGCAGGGACAGGGACGGCTACAGGGGTGTAAACCGGGAAACAGATAGATAGAATCGTCATTATCTCGACTGCCTGGTCACAGTCGAATCCTTGCCAGAGTCTGCGCTGGACGAATCACTTGGCAGGCATACTGGAGAAGATGGATCTCTTGATACGGACTCTCATTCGCGAGAGTTGATGTTGATCGTTCGCCCTGGACGGCTTTTCCGTGCACTTCTCCTAGCAAAGCAGCATGGTGGGGAGCACAAGAGTATCGTATCGGATCACAAGATTATACCACGGGACGAAGACATGACTTATATTGATGATATGATAGTCTTCAGGACGCTAGAGGCATCGTAGTTGGGTGTATTTCGGAGAACGGACCATACTGATATTTTTCGTTCATGTTTTGACAGTACTACCTGTAACTCACGACAGTAATCAAACCACAACGATTGTATATCCGAATTATCGCTGAGAGTACCGGTCATAGCGCGTCCTCGTCAATCATCATTAACAGTAATTGCTTCCAACTAGTTTCCACTGTGCTCACAGACAAGTACTGCTTTGTGTCAATGTACTGTCGACTGCGTATGAGCAGTGTACTCTTTTCCCCATCCTACTGTAAGCACGCCGAGTTCTTCAAACCCCGGACGGGCTTGCCGTTGTTGAAACGTTGACACCCCACTCTTACTATCCTGTCCCGGAATCCGCTCACGGATCATCATCTACGCTCCAGCATGGTGACCCACATAACTTGAGTGCGTTCTGTTCATTTTGTGACGAGCCATCAACCAGTTAGAACTAACAGTCAGAAAAGTAGGTACCGATTATTGTAAAAATGTCTCTTTGTATGAAACATTGCAGCTGTTATCTGGTGCAGTACACACCATAACATATAGTCTATCAGCGGTCGCAGTCACAGATGATTCCGATTTGTTGCCCCCAGATTAGTCACCTAATTACCTCCTCTCCTCAAACGGATTTTCCGTGTATTCCAACTCATCGTCGCTATCGTCTCTGTGTGTAGGTTGGGGCTGTTCCCGAAGGAGTGATACAGGTCGTTTGGGCAGAAGTCCAAATTTAGCTAACGTGGGATGAAATTAGAGGCGTAAAACAGCGGGAGGGAAGAACACGACTGACTGGCATCTATGCCACTCGGGGTACCAACGCCCGTGGACGGCGGTCTTGGGGTGTCACCCGACCGCCGAGCAAGTTCGAGAGGAGGAGACGTGCCCATGCCTGTGTTGGGCGGGGAATACGTCGATGACCCTGCATAGGTCGGGCTATTGCTTGTAGAGGTCGGTAAAGTCTTAGTGACGAAGTTTGGAGGAGCGTATGTTGCGCTTGGAGCGAGAGTAGGAACGGAGTCCGTCCTTGGATTTGAGTTGCCCCCACTGGGACGGGGAGGAGATTGCCACCCGCTTCCACGAATTCCACTTTCACCCGGTGGATTTGGGTCATAGTAGGATTGCTGGTGTTGTGTGGGTTGTACACCGCCCCATGAAGGTTGAGATGTCTGACCCCACGTAGGTTGTGTATCTTGTCTGTAACGAAGACCCATTAGATATTTCGCGTAAACGGAGGTGAACAAAGAAGCGAATGTCAATGGAAGTGGTGGTATCGTGTAATGAAACAACCTCTGGGGACAAAAGTAAAGGGATGCGTACCTGGACGCTCCCTGGCCCTGATCGTATTCCTGTATCTTCGCCTTGACTTTTGAAACAATTGAAGAGAATGTCTTCTTGCCAGCTGGTGGTTTCCGAAGTCGGTTACTGACTATGGTACGAGAATTGAAATACGTACTCTCTGCTATCTTGTTGAAACCATCTTGAAATTCTGCCATAGTGTCCCGTTGCGATGGAGCAACCGCCTGCGCCATACTGTCATATCTTCCGGTTTCATTTCCACCCCCCCGGTCCCGACTAGCAGACCACCTCGACTGATAGGGTTGGGGCCCTTGTCCCTGCTGCGGAGGGTGCCACTGATTCTGTGCAGCTTGCTCTTCCTCGAGCATGAGACGTCGAGCGAGTTGCTCGTCTAGATCAGTCTGAGTAGGCTCACGCTGCTCCGGCGGCGGTACCGGCTGGGAGACGTAATCAGGATCGCTCATCCCCAACAGTGTGTCAATTGCCATATCCTGGTCACCGTTGACACTTTGGAGTACAGATGATCTGCACATCATTCAGCACATTTGACTTGACAGAACACTGTCTACACACAGTAGAGAGTCGTCAAAATCTGGGAACATTGCGTGCAGGCTCGCGATGCGTGGATCCACGTCAGCATCAAGAGGACGCTGCGGAAGGCTCGGGGTGTCTTCGGCCTGAGTAACAGCAGGAGGTTGGGGCGAAAGAGTAATCATTTTGCCAGCTTCTGGTGATTGGGGTGGCGAAGGCGCTACTTCAAAGACAGGCGGGGTAAATTGTTGGTTATCGTATATTCCTGGTGGTGAAGAAGGAAACTGATGCGAGTCTTCTGATTCTGAAGGCTGTGGTGAGGAGGCAGGGTTTGCTATATCTGGCGTGTCAGTATTTGGATATAGCAGATATATGATCAAAGTCGCTCACCTCGAGGCTGGCCATCAATGACTAGGCCCTCATTTGTTTGAGTCATCGTTGGAAGAACGTCTGTACATGTGATCTTGGAGTCGGTTTTATAGGATGAGAGTCTGTTGCGGAGTAGGCCGCAGCAGTCATACGCTGTCACAATATAATACGTAGCCGCTGACCAAATATAGTGATGTGCCGGCGCTGGCTCAATTATCCATGGGCCAGGCCTAGCACGGCTCAAGCGCTCACCCACCATCATATGCACTTGAAATTGACTTTCACAGAGTTTTTGAGACATGGATGGTTTTGTTGCTTGGTTTCAACACAATGGTGGGGTCTTGGATACTTCGATGATAGCCATCACCGATTTTCCTGGCAGTGGACGTGGTGCGGTCGCACTCCAGGATATACCTGTTCGTCTCCTTCAAAAAAATTTTGTCCAAATTGTTTGCTCACATGTTTCTCAGGAAAACCATACAATTTTCATGCTTCCTCGTTCATTAACACTTTCAACTCAGACCTCGAGCCTTCCTTCTGCATTCGGTTTTGAAGAATGGAGAAAGCACAAATTGCACAAGGGTTGGGCTGGGCTGATTCTTTGTATGATGTGGGAGGAAGCTCAAGGAAACCAAGGAAAGTGGATTACATATCTCGGTAGGTCTTTCCAAACGACCACTTGTCGGTTTTTTCTCAACTCAAGATACAGCGTCACTCCCGACGCAATTCGACACCCCAATATTTTGGAGTGACGAAGAACTACAAGAGCTCCAAGGGACGGCTGTGGTAGGTCTGTTGTCATTTTTTATATATTTCTTGTCGCATTCTCGTTTATGAAAGTGGACGCACTTGGCTGACAGTGGTGAAATCTAGACAAGATAGGTCGGGATGAGGCTGAACGCGATTATCACGAGAAGCTAACTCCGGCGATCAAGGTAGGTCTATTTTTTGACTTTTCCCACTCGGACTCGAATACTGGACGAATTAGACTCGACCGGATCTTTTCCCCTCTGATCAAATCGATACATGGTACACACTTCATCAGTATCATATCACAGGCAGCCGAATTCTATCTCGAAGCTTCAATGTAGAGAGGTGGGAAAGTGGAATTGAGCAGGATGCCGAACATGTCACAGAAGAAGACAGTAATGAGAACACCCAGGCCAACACGAGTATTGGGAGCGCAATGGATGTTGACGATTCGGCAGATAGTGGTGAAGCTGTGGATGAAGAAAGCAGTGACAGAGGTAGTGATCATGAGGAGATAGAGGATACATCGGATATTGCAATGGTGCCTATGGCTGATATCCTGAATGCTCGATATGACTCTGTCAATGTAAGTCATGTAGACATCAAATTCTTCTGTCCCAGTTGTACCTGCATGACATTCATACAGCTCTTCACAGGCGAAACTTTTCTACGAGAAGCACCATCTTCAAATGGTCACCACGATGCCCATCAAAGCTGGAGAACAAATAGTAAGTCGGTCCCCACCAAGTGATTGTGTTGGTTTACATACATTCAAGTTCAATACATACGGCGACCTGCCCAACTCAGACCTGCTCCGGCGCTACGGACATGTTGATCTTGTGCCGTGTCCCCATCTAAAGGGTTCGCTTGGAAATCCACAAGACGTCGTGGAAATACGAGCAGACCTTGTTGTCAACGTTGTTTGTGATGATCTGTCTACTGGCGAGACATATCGGCGACGGATCGACTGGTGGCTCGACGAAGGGGGCGATGAGTATGGCACTCGCTTACTTTTTTCTCTTCCTGTGCTCAATTACATTATCCAGCGTTTTCATTATCGACGCAGACCCAGTTCTCCCTGCAGCGCTGACATCTTTCATAAGACTTCTCCTTCTCACCCAAGAAGAATGGGAAAAAACACGGGAGAAAGGGCGTTTCCCGAAAGCCAAGTTTGATCACCAAGTCTCTCCGTTATTACGCAGGATATTCGAGATGCGCTTGACTAGTTATCAATCGCCAGATCTTGAAGTATGTTCATTCAATTATTATCCCACTCGGGGATCGGTGACACGGAAATTATTCCTCATTTTAGGTTGACGCAAAGCTTCTTGCATCCGAATCACTCACGCTCAACAAGAGACATGCCATCGTAGTGCGGCTCGGGGAGAAGCAGATTCTAGCAGGTGCACTTGAAACCCTGCGCTTCATGGATGCGGCCTTGAGTGACGTCGGGGGTAATGGATCTAAAGGCAAGAGGCGTGTTGCAAGTGGGGGTACGACGGGTGGAGGAAAATCGAAAAAGGCCAGGCATTGACCCTTAGAAGGCCTATGCACGGACCCACTCATTCGCGTCTTCTGTTCATTGGCCTCGTGGTTATTATCGACATGCAGTGCAGAAGAACGGAGAGCACCGAGGTTCTGTCACTAGCCACTACTAGTATACCGATCTTTTCGCTAACCTTCCAACAGTAAACTTGTACCTATCACATCGGTGTGTAGCTGGCCAAAGGGACAATGCTGCATTCTATTGGGCGAAATTCTAACCTATAGTTGGCAAACAAAATTGCACGAGGCAACCAACAATGCACTACGGTTCCTCGCGTGATCAAAGCGGCTTATAAAATTATTCAGATGACGTCCAAAAGAAATGCTTTTAGTAAGGTTCAACCCTCGTGCTTTCAACGGATCCATTCAGCACGCTGTCAAGATGTGAAAGATGTGAATAAACTATATATATTCGTCTTCCCTTCCATTGCTGTTGATCCCAACAGTTTCAATAGTTGGCAGATAGGCTGGTGGACGTCACGCTGCCAGATAGCATAATTTTGTGCATTATGCTATCGATTACTGATCACCCTGCTAGTCTCTTAATCAGTAGCCCAACGGTGCAGCGCTGACGCCCACCGGTGATGCTCGGTGATATCATTCCAAGTAAGGCTGCATCTGACGTGAGTTGGTTCCGACTGAACGGGTAACTTCAACACGAATTTCCAACCATTTGATGATTTCACACTTACATTAGGATGTGATTGTGAAATCAAGTGACTGGGGGTCCATCACACCTATGACTTACCTTGTCTTAGCGTCGCGTCGGCGTTGATAAGATCTTACGATAGTCTGATGGCTGCTCATGGTCATATTGCATGCAAATGAATGGTCTTATCTGACCATTCTTTAGATTAACGTCCGAAGTGGACGATTTCGAATTGCACTACAATAAAGAAAGAATCGTTAGAATCGCAACAAGGCGTGAGGACCCTTGAGAGCATGCCCATAGTCGCCACCATTTCTCTACTTCTTCGTCAGCGTCGAATTCTTTTCCTTGTCAGCACACTGGTTTGTGTTACCCAGGTTGCCGGAGTCAATGTGTTCCTTCCGTTGCATGTCACGCGCAAAGCGTCTTCCATCGAGGCACGCATTTCCCGATCCCGTTCTCGTTTCCCCCGCTGCGGATCGCCTGTAAAATTAAATGTGCTGGATCAGACGAGAATGAATTTTAGTAGCTATTGCACGATCATAGCGAATGGATTGGTAGGTATGAAGCAAGGGAAGGATCTGAAAGAGGTGTGCGCAAGGCCCAAAACAGCAGCATCGACCTGAAAATGAATCGTGACTCATGGTCGCAAGAACACACGGAAACTACTTACGGTCATTGCAGACACTTGAGCACGTTGCGGCTTACCAGTCGGATGAGTTAGATGCCACTGAACGAACATCAGAAGACCTATAAGTATGAGCTTCTGAATGCTATTTCGATTCACGAGAGGAAGAATGCAGTGTGCGGTTGCTGAAAGACACTTATTAGGATTCCCAGCCAGCAGACTCAGCCCTCATCTTGTCTGTGCTGCCCTTCGCAGTCTATGATTCCTCACCGCCCTCGTCAGGATGAGATTATAGCACACTATATAGGTGAAATGAGGAATTGAATTCATACAATACTTACTAGACGCCTTGACATGGCGGCGTGGACCCAACCATCCTACCATATCGGATTTCTCAACCAAGAGCCGCAGGTCCAAGTCTTGTAGAGGTTTTTCTGTCAGGGTAATGACTATATACGCAGCATCTACTGTGGGTCTGGCTCAACCTGGACCACCCATGAATGCATGACGTACTACCGCAAAGTACTTTTAACTCCGTTAGCACCGTGACTGATGACTAAATCAGCATTCACGACTTCGCCAGACTTGAGAGTAAGGGTAGGTTTTGTCCATGGAAACAAACCCGATAATGAGTGCGAATGTTACACTGAGGCTCCAATAATCCATACGATATGCAGTGAAAATCAGCACGTTATACTAAACGTTGTTAGCTTCACCACGAAAAGGGTAACGCTCAAACTTAGCGTGGATGTGATAGCAACGGGGCCCCATAGTCCTTCTCTATAGAAATCCTATTTTCCCACCTCGTCTATGCGAGAGTTTCGCTGGTAGATTCTATAGAGTGAGAATAATGAGTAGTATATACGAACATGGACAAAATGACTCACATCGCCTGAAATCCGATCCTTCAAGCTTGACAGCAACCTCCTCGATGCGTTCTTTCAAACCTCAGGTAATCAGAAGGCGGGTCAGATTTGGGCCGACCTAGATACCAACACGATCGCGAGAGCGGCCTCGGGGATGGACACATTACGACCAGCTTAGGAAAGGCAGTGCGCAGTAGCGACATCACCAAGCCCACGTCCTATGATGACAACACAACTTCTAAAGAAAGGGAAGCTCGACATCCTTGGTGGAGCTTGCCGACCTGAAAATTCAAGCCAGCCCAGTAACCGACGGACTACTGGGCACATGCTGTTGCTGTTGGAGACCTGTTGCTCATTGTGCTCTTGTTACTCCTGTGAGCCTTCGAATACTCGAGCGGCAGTACCAAAAGAATGCATGCCATTGATTCAATGCAAGGGAAGGAGGGTAGGACTGAGAGGCGTATCTACAGGTTATAGTTAATAACTGGAGTGACAGGTAACCAATGCACTGGTGAGGTCTGCTTGTTTCTATGGGTGTAAAATGTCTGTCAGTACTTTTGCCAGGTATTAATCGGCCCTCAGCGCATAAGGTAAAGCCTAGCGAATCGATGGTGTCGAACCGAGGCTGACAGGGCGAGAGTTAGGGAGCAGAGAGTAGTCCTAACTATTTCAAGTATTCCGCAGTGACCTCTTGTGGTCCCTAACGCCTGGAATGATGGTTGTCTGCTGATATTGACCATTGGAATGTAGTGCACTACAAGATTCAAAATTATTAGTGTGTACTGTATTAAAAAAAAGTATAATTTATAGTATTAATTTAACTCGATATTAATGTTTAGTTAAAGGATAGTAGAATGAAGTGGGCGGTTAAGTTATCATCTTCTCAATCCAATTTGTCCATACTGCAACAACTGGAGACCACATGTATAAGCGCTTGGATAGGATCTTGAGAGCTCGGTGATTTTTTTTGGCTTTTATAAAGGGCTCCTGGACCGCTCACAACTTGAACGTCGAGCTAATGGTCCAGAGATAGTATTTGCTACAGTGAAATCTATTTAGAACCGGAGAACTTAGAATCCGACGCGGGGAGCACTCAGTTTTTCTGTGCTAGATGAGATGCGTTAGCAGGAGTCTAGACTTTCATTTAGATTCAGCAGGGTGTCTGTGAAGAGCTGAGCCCCTTTGGCTAGACTTTCGACATCCCGATTTTCCGATCGCACCTGCTGATATCCTCGTGTTCAATATCAGGGAATTAAGCAGGTACTTAAACCCAAAGAACATACCGTAAGAACACACTGAGGAAAGGATCAATGGTCGTTGAATTTAAATTGTGCCTTTGAAACTTAACTGCAGCGACCATATGCATACGTAATGCATACGTATACGGCTTGACTAAACTTTACTACCTTGGTCAGCTCCTGCGCCCATGAACAACCGTATCTCGCGCTCCATACTGGAGGATAATCACAAAAGGCTTATTGATCAGTACAAAGCAAACCTCTCAGATGTATGTGCTATCCAATCAATCTTGAATGATGAGATCTTGTCCCATGTGGTCCAAGAATTGGCGCTCAGTGATGCGGACCATACATGGGCGAAGGAATGGATCTCGGATACAGGTAATTGTTGCAGCATCGAATCTGTGAAACCGTAAGTTGATCATGAACTACAGCAACCATTTTCCGTTTCTTGCGGGTGAGTGAAATGCTAACCGCTTGCAGCAGCAAGTGTCTCCGCTAAAGCATGGCACGTAGCACCATGGCTTCGTCCGTTCATTAGCATTGGAGGCCATATACACGGCACTCATTTGGCGTTTAAATGCGTTGCGACTCTTCGCTCTCCCTTCTGCACTGCTTCATTGTCTTCCACCGCCGATCTGTGATCCACTTGGCCGTCCCCTCGTGTTTCTCCAGTTGTCAGAATTGCTGACTTGCGAGCAAACAATGATGGATAGGTTGCTGATCTCCCTCGAACGCCTGAGTATTCATCTCCGCTCACTCAATACTCTTAACGATGAGTTTGTGAACCGTGAAGTAACTCTTCAGTGCGTTTTCGTCATCGACCTTGAAGGTCTATCAGTCCAGTCGGTTGTAAGTCAATACCCCTTGAGACCTAAACTTTTATTCAGTTCCGTGACAGAACCTTAAAATTTTAACATGGCTCATGAAAGAAGTAGTTCCCCGGTACCCTGGAATGCTTGGTGCAGGTAACAATGCATCGCTCTAATCATTTGCTACGATCAAACTCAATTTTGTTTTGTCTTAGTATTCTTCCTCAATTACTCTTGGACATATGCAATGACTTGGTCCATTATGAAGTGTGTTTATTCTAGAAACGATTTTTTGGTCTGTTTGACCAGAACCTAGGTCCCTGCTTCCTAAATCCGCGGTTGCCAAAGTCTTCTTTCCATCCAGGGAGGAGCTTCTTCGATATTGTTCTGCGTCAGCGCTACCATCTAGTCAGTCACCCTATCTCGTTGCCTTATACACTTAGCAGCCATGCATTCGTCAGATTATGGCGGTGCACTCTCGCCACTCCACCTTATCGAAGATCCGCTAAATTCGCATGAGCAGAAAAATTGTGCTTCTGTTGCTTCACGTGAATGGTGCATGCCGGCGCCCAGCACCGGGCTTCCTGAGACCCTACACCGGCAGCCTTCGTCCGTAACCATACCTCCTCGATCCTCCCTCAACCCTTTCTTTGGCTATCCTTCAGTCGCTTCCTTCTCACGACCGCACACGGTGCAACAAGGTCGCCGGCGGAAACGTGATCTGCTGTTGACCCTGTCAGTTCTCTGGTGGAAAAGATGGGGTACACGCGTCATCATAACACTCTATTTTCTTATCGTAGTCGGCCTTACACGCAAGAGAGTCAGGAGATTAGCACGATGGATGCTTGGAGTAGCTCTACCTTCTGGTAGCACCTTGCTTGCCATAACTTAGCTTGTATGATGGACCCGGTATGTCATTTCGGCGGTACTGATGCCATGCCACGCAACCAAGAAGTGCCGAGGTGTTTACATAACTTGCCTTGCATTCATCAATATTGACGAGCTCACGCCCGTTGTGCCTTCGGCACAAATCAAAGGAGCGCTACGCGCTCCTTCAGGGGAGAAAAATGAGTGTTGTTCCTTCGTCACAGGAAGCCAAGGAGGGCTACGCCCTCCTTTGGCTTCCTGGCCTCAGGCTGCATCCTAATAAATTGTGCATTTTGAATGATTTTGAAATATATTTATGAGCAGCTTTTCAAAAAAACTCAAAGTACAATCTATCACACCACATAAAAGTACATAGTACTACATACAATCAGTCAGTGCTATGTTCTTTGAGCAGGATTTTGACCAATATAAAAATACAAAATATGTAACAGTATCATTGAATGTATTTGTTTTCCCATTTTTCCCTGCTTCCCATCTAGGGATCAGCAGGGGTATGGGAAACCCTTGAGGGTACGGGTAGGGGTTTGGATCTGAAGACCCCTGTACCCCTGGGAATATACCTCCAAATTGATTACCATAGGAGTGATGGATCAGTATAAAATTTTGAAGTTGTACATGTGCCTTCAAATGGTAATATATGTGATTGGAAAAAATGTTACCATGGGGTATACCCATGCTAATCCCTACTCCCTACTCCCTACTCCCGTCTCCCGTCTCCTGTCTCCTGTCTCCTGTCTCCTGTCTCCTGTCTCCTGTTTCCTGTCTCCCGTCTCCCGTCTCCCGTCTCCCGTCTCCCTACTCCCGTCTCCCGTCTCCTGTCTCCTGTCTCCTGTCTCCTGTCTCCTGTCTCCTGTTTCCTGTCTCCCGTCTCCCGTCTCCCGTCTCCCGTCTCCCGTCTCCCGTCTCCCGTCTCCCGTCTCCCGTCTCCCGTCTCCCGTCTCCCGTCTCCCGTCTCCCGTCTCCCGTCTCCCGTCTCCCGTCTCCCGTCTCCCGTCTCCCGTCTCTGTTCTCTCAGTCTCCCATCTCCTGTCTCCTGTTCTCCCATTTCCCCATTTTCCTGTCATCGCATTCTCTGGTTTTTGAGTCTACATTGTCTTTGTCTCCTTTTTTTATTTGAATCTTATCTCCTGTCACCACATTTGTTATCTCCCTGTCTGTAATTGTATCATATGTTGTTCCATTTATGTACATATACAGTCACTACTAATAATTGCAGTAGGCAAAACACTCAAATCCTGTTGTCCCCCTGCTCAAACACATTATTTAATGCCATGTACACATACAGTTACCAATGTTGTTGCGCAACATTCCCAATGGGTGACGTTGTTTGAGTCGCCGCTCGAAATATACATGAAAACCACGCGAGTTTCCAAATCGAGGTTAAGCGAGGTAAGCGAAAACCACATGGCCTTTGGCGAAATACGCGAAATACGCGCAAACCACGCGAGTGCGCGAAAGTTCCCGAAACCGTTCTACTTTACTTCTTAGATTAATCATTTTCAATCGGCGGAGTGACCCCTCGCTTCTCCGGTCAACATGCAGGCTCAGTCAGGCTCAGTCCTTGTTACTTTCGTAGCGACCCTACATTCTGGCATCCAGGAAAGGTCATCCGCAAGATTAATAGCGTGATGCTGACACATCATGTGGGGTATAGTAAAGTAGCATCGTACTGGTGTCGTCCGCACAATACAGGTTTACACCTACTTGCTACAGCTTGGGCGCCAAAACCGCCGCCGGCAGTACTCGGTTTCTATCAAAAATGTTCAAGAGTTCTGCTGTAGTAGCTTGTTGAGATCTAGAGGAAGTACTCGGGAAGCTAAGTGGAGCAAACACTCGTGTGAGTAAATTGGTCTATTCAAAGAAAACACGGAGCGGAAGATGATCGCAGGAATAGCGACGTACCTTCCCACCAACATTCTGTGGAGCCTGTTGACTCGGACCATCGCGTTCATTCTCCGGGGCAGCTTCGAACACATTGAAATACATGCTCTCGCCAGGACCCACCTCGAGTATACTCGCGGAATTGCCGCAACGATAACAATAGTTAGGCGCCGACCAGACCGTCGAAAGGTGTTTGTCAAATAATGACGAATAACCTTCCATGCAGAGTTGATGTGCGCGCAAAATATGCGACATGTTGTTCGTTTCCAAGAACTTGTGTACAACGCCTGATCCAAACGTGTAGCCAGCACCTCTACATGATCCGTTCCAGATTGAAACATCAGACACAATATAAGCGGAGTAATGATAAGCCTCATTAGTCCATAACGCTAGTGATACGCTAGAGTAGGCACGGACCTTGGGGATATTGCAAAGTCTTCTTTCTCTGCATCCGGATCCGACCACACCAAATCAGCCATAGGACCCTCGTGTGGGATTTCTGGACGAAATGAGGGTGGGCAGCAATGAACGGGTGGGGGTAACGTACCTCTAAATCGATCTACAACTTTGATTTGATCTACGGAGTGGATAGACGGCGAAAGACCTGAGACGAGGAAATGATCAGATCGTGATACTGTGAAAGAGTGGATTGCTGATGACCTCCATGAACGCAGAATATCCGATCATCGATTACCACAGACAGGGTCAAGAAGTCGAACATGTCCGTGAAATAGGTCCATACATGTGATGAGCCGTATTTTCGCACACACTCCGTATAAAACCCATAAGTCTAAGTTAAACATTGAGCGATAAGGGAGCTCCATAACATCATGAATTGATGGCTGACTTGTGTTACAGCCCTTGATTCATGGTTGCCACGAATTAACTGGACTCTGTCGGGGTATCGCAGCTTAAGACACGTAAGGAGTGATATGGTCTCCACACTGAACAGGCCACGATCGACGTAATCCCCTGGGGCACTATGAGAAAAGGGAAGTGTATTCTAACAGGAAGAATGGAACTCGCCAAGGAAAAGATAATTGGTGTGAGGAGCATAGCCACCTATGCGGAATATTTCGATGAGGTCGTAGAACTGACTTGAGTTCTATGATGAAATGTCATGGAGTGATTGAGGCTAGGAGGTACTCACCCGTGTATGTCTCCAACGACCGTTACTGGTGCACTGACATGGACCACATTGGATTCCCTCATGAGAACTTCTTTCGTTTTTGCACATATTTCACGTAAAAGGGCCTCATGTAAAAGCTGTTTGCGGAGCAGTTGCTGTATACACGCGTCGAGATCGAAGGGGGCCATAATTTCTGCGGTCTCGTGCTCCGAGTGATTTCAGGAAAGGTTAGTCACAAGTCACAGATCCATCCCTTTGTGCATGTTTGGGTTCCCACCACGGGTCTCGAAGTCGCCATACTTAGTACCATAGCACCTATGGTCCTCATAGATGCAGTTCAAACAAAGTTTCGACTATCAAATTGATCGCGCTCCTTGGCGCTCTGAAGACCCGTGTACTCGGTCAGCAGTGGATTACGGGTAAGGTTAAGTTTGCGAGTGGTCAGGCCTGGAGGGACGGAGATTTTCTCTCATGGTGCCTGTGTCCGAATTTGCACAAGCCACAAGCCCATTTTTACGTTGGCGTTTCAAGCTTGGCCATGGGCGATCCTGACACTAGCGCTTTGATTGGTGGAAAGGCCTCGGCTAAACGGCATATTCCCTTGAAATGTCCCACCAGGTTCAAAACTTAGACTGAGGGTCTCCTGATCGCGTCCTCGAGGTATTCGCGTGTCTAATGAATACTTACCGTTCCAGTAGATTGGCGATTGGCGCTTGGCGCTTGCCGGGGAGGCACGCTGCGGGGAGGTAATATACTAGTAGTAGCTCCACTGTCAAATTATATTCCGAACTTGTGCTTTTTTATTTTTGTCGACTTCTCCGAGCCGTGTGGTGCATCTCTGGGCTGAATTGTGTAGCGTCCCAATGCTGAAACCGAACGGTGATTCACCGATGACTCTGTTCTATCCGAGGAGATAGATGAGCGCTGGTTTCAATGGTGCAATATGACTTGTTGAGGACAGGCTCCGAGTAGATGATTATCATGCCAATGCAGTGGACGAATCGCCCTTAACAGTGACCTCGCAATATTTTAGGCTACCGTCGGTGCCGAAAAGGAAGACGCCTTCCCGAGGACAAGAACACGTGGACAGTGTGATTCTTCATTTGCAGGTCCATCAGTCTGAGAATGTTCTACTCTCCCTGTCGGTCACGCTCTCGAAGATGCATGATGGGAAGCTTCATCGCCTTTATAGTGACCTGACGTGTCATCCCGCTCTCTGGTTTGGTCATCCATCTTCCTCCTACAACGTCATTCTCGAAGTTGTGGAAATCCGCAAGCTCTTGTCCCGGCGTTTTGTCAACGTGCAATATAGCATCTCGTTAATTTCGATCTTCGGGCGACATTGTTCGGGATGGACCCTAGGCGTAATCATTCCAGCACAGCTGCTAACCAATCCAAGATCGTGTTCTGTGATTGGTCACCTATTTCACGAGGCTGGGATTTCCCGACTAACGTTCCGACAGGGTCTAACAACAAAAGGTATGGTGACTGACCCAAGTCGCTTCCTTTCAATGGGTTATCTGACAACCCGTCCCGTAGTATGAGTGGCCTCTCTGTCTCCTTGGAGAGTAACATCAATAAACATTGAATACACTTCTTAAGGGTCATCTGCTCATATGTAATGGATCTTTCCGCTTAGCGTTAGATGAAACCAGCATGTCCATGACAAGTTGCTGCACAAGGGCTGCCACTAATTTATGCCTTACGAGAGAACTCGGCAGATCCAACTCGATTTAAAGTCAACTGTCCAGGAACGCACCCTCCGCAAACTCTCTAGCCTCGTGATCTGCCCGCAGCGATCTTCTGCAAACCTGCCGTTCTCTACAAATGGAGGAGTTCTCGTTCTGAGCTCACCACACAGCTTTCCTCGGTGAGACCCCGTATCTATCCAATCTTGTCTGTTCTAATTTTTTTCCATTGTTCCTTCTATTGCTCCACCCGCTCCCGAGGTGGTACCTTCGTTGAACCTTCTTACCTGACGGAATTTAGTCTCCCGGATAATGAACTTCCAAGACAGTAATGTCAATCATGATTAGTGCATTCCGCCCACATGATATCGTCCCTATCATGCTTGCAAAATTGATCTGGGCCTTCCACAGAATATCTCTTGATGCCGGAGTCATACGCAGCCTAAGTTTACTCTTTCATACCGGAATTACGCTCTGAGAAGTAATGATTTAGTAACCGATCTACTCATTCATTAAGGTACGTTGTCACCCTGATATGACAGGCGACACCCGAGTACTTTCACTGCAAAAATGTATATAAGGGCTCAGCAACTACAATAGCTGGGAAGTCTTTACTATTAGCCAAACCTTCCTTGCACGATGCAGTATCCAAATGCGTACTCCCACAACGGTCATCAGACACAACAACCACATGTCTCTGCCCACCATCCTCGACAATCTTCTTCGAGCTCGAACAGTAACACCTCCGCATATCCCCAACAAGCGCAGGTGTTATCGGGCTACCCACTTGACAGTACTTTGTCCGATGGCATAATAGGTATACTAATGCCACTGAACGGCGCTTCTATTGGTAGTTGACATTCTTCAACCAGGAAACCACCACACTGGAAATCCATTGCAACCCCCTCCTTTCTCCAACCATCCGCAGCACGGGACGTCATCTGCCATGGACACTCGCAGGTCTTATTATGCTCATCCTCCTGCTCCTCCTGCACCGGCGAACCAGCCTAATACTTACTATCCCTCGCATCATCAGCCATCTGCGCCAAGTCCCCAATATGCAGTACACTCCCATCCGCATATCGATCCTCAGACTCTCCATGCTCATTCAGGACCACAACACTTCATCCCGACACCATCGCAGACGTACCAAGTATATTCCAACACTGTGCCATCGAACCCACGGTCCCGTTCCACCGTCGAACCGTACTATCATATGTCGCCCAATCCCCAACACACCACCCAAGGCAGCTCACCCCCTGCTGCGCCACGTTCTACGCACACATCCCCCTCCGCCAACCCGGCACTTATTGGAGACCGGTTTCCCTGTGAGCTCTGTGACAGGTCGTTTACTCGCTCGCACGATAGAAGGAGACATTATGAGACCGTCCATGCTGCAACCCCCGTCCTACATCGATGTCGTTACTGTGGGAAGGATTTCAGTCGCGCGGACTCACTTAAACGCCACATCGATAATGGCTGCGACGAGATGTCGCACAAATAGATTTGGAAATGACTTTTTGTTTATCTTCCAACCCCAACCTTTAACCATCCAAGCATTGTCCTAATTATTCATTTGAACATTACCTCCGCTACGTTAACCCACCATGTCATATAATTCTCCGCAGTCCGTCCAATGCTTGGAGCGTGCTTGTACTTATGTGTATTTTTAACTACTGCACTAGACTCGGAAGGATCCTCCAGTAGCCCTGCGTTTAACTGGTACACAGTTGCTAAATATGACGCGATGCAATCCCTGACACAAACACTCTCAAATCGCGGATTCCCCAGTACTTCATGAGAGTATGATATTCCTGACTAGAGCGCTCACGGCTACATCGGGTGACCGATATCAAGGCCTAGAATTCCAGTCTGCACGTCGCATTTGGATCATATCTCCGACCGACGGTACTTATTTAAGAAATAGCTAGTCATCGTGATACGCAAACGGGCTCGGACAGCCTGCTGATCACTCGTGGATCAATTGATCACCCTGGGTTTCGTCTGGTGTATCAGTGATAAGTGGAGCCATTCAAATGTATCGATGAAAGGTACTTTTCCCTTATTGACTGCCTCGGACGCGGGAGCCCGGCAAGTCTTGGTCATGTCACCTAGTTTTTGGAGAGAGGCTGCCATTTTTGCGTAGGCGCCGAGGGAGCTCTTGACAATTGCTGTGTCTATCCGATCATATGATAAGACGATATTCCACAGGGCTATGTGGGACCGAAACGATCGCATTACTGCATGGTGCATCTGGAACCGAATCGGAATAAGGATTCAGTGAGCAGAAAGCCACCCGAGGACCTCGGGTGGGACTACCCACATATGCAAGTCTGTCGGAAGAACTAGGTAAGAAATAACGAATAACGTCATGCTGTTTGTATGACATGTTTGTTTTTCGAAAAACCGTCTCGCAACATCGCGGATCCGCTTCCGGGACCTGAAAAACAAGTTCAATGTCATCAAACGCGGTGCCTGTTCCATCAGGAACTAAGCGAAATAGCTCAGCAGAAGATTCACGTAGGAAGGAACCACAAGAGATAGCAGCCCACGTTAACGGAAGAAAAAATACGAATGACACTTCTGGTGGTAGGCTCACAAAGAACGCGGCACGCGCTGATACACGTATGAATAATCAATGCATTGACACGGATCTCAATCATTATCATCGTCACCTGAGTCACTGTCTCTGCTTCTGTTATCAACCAAGCCCTCAATTTCGACCCCAGGATTGTCATCTTCGACGTGAGCATCGTCTTTTTCTGCGCGTTTCTTGTTCAATTTGTCTATGATTTTGTCGGCACGATTAAATATTCCACCCGTGGGGGCGCCGCATGCCAAGCACTTTGGAGTTTTGGCATAGCGCTTGATTGCACAGGCCGAACAATAATAATGCCCGCACCGCGTGGCCACTGGATCTGTATAAGGTTTGCGACAGATGAGACAAGCGAAAGGTATGTCCTCGTTGTCAGAATCGGAGTCTGACACATCCTCGACTTGTTTCCGCGGGGTTTCAGCGAGTTTATCCAATTGCCAACCAGCAAGATCTGTCCAAAGTATTTGTCTTTAGTTTCTTTAAGCGTAAAGGCTATGCAAACATACATGTGCCACGGTCGTGCAAGAATTTGCAAGTGTCACCAAACCCGCAGTATCCCGTTTCTGATTGGGATGATCGTTTTAGCATCCGTATCCGTCGGAAAAAAAACTTACGAACCTTTGTAGTCTTTGCAAACATCGGGCTGATAATCGACAATGGTTACAGTACGAATGGTGCTAGTACCTCGCTGAGGACCAACACGCATAGCTTTGGGTACTTCCTGACTTTTTTTCAGGTGACTTCGATAAGCATTCTGGCCCCTATACAGCCCATCATCAGGTACTTCCTCTTCCTCTTCACCTCTATCTGCTTTCTCTTTCTTCTGACGTTTTGCAAGTAGCTCCGCGGCTTCGTCACCAGCTAGTATCTCAAGTGCTGCGTTGGTGTGTGATCCGGCTGCGGTCCACTTCACAGCAGGACCATCACGTTCCACAAAGTCTGGATCGTCCATTTCGTCCTCCCTTCGTTGTGCAGCAGTACGTTTCGTGCCAGCGCTCAGAAGATTGCCAGTTGCTTTGCGAGAAGGAAGAACCACTGCAGACTTGGACGAAGACGGTATCGGCGCTGACCCACGGGGAGGCGGAGAATCTGATCTTTTTCGTGAGGTTGCTGGTCGAGATTTTCCCTTCTTGAAGAAGGGAACCTTAACTTCGTGTGTCGTGGACATGGTTTTTGGTCAAGGTTTGCAACCTCAAGCCCATGGTCGATTGTCTAAATTACAACCAATCTTAGTCATGCATCTTCTATTAGTAAGCTGCTAACTTCAATTACGGCCCGTGACGGTGTCCACGTTTGAATCACTTGACTGACACAACGGGTATGAGCGAGAACTGAGATGAAACGACAGTTGAAAGCTTGGCTAGTGACTGATCGCAATATCATAATTGGTTTGATTCCTTAGTGGGTCCCACGTGAAACAGTAAACGACGTGTAAGTAATACTACCAAAAACCTCTATAAAACAACCGTACTCATCCTAGCTGCTTCAAGTAGCAGTCTATTTGCGGTCAACACTAACTCATCATTCAAATATTCACAGCCCAGGGGTCGGTTTCAAAAACCAAGGCACAATTTACTCATACAGTCAAAAATCAGTGCAAACTTTCAATCGCAGAGCGGTGTAGATCAAGTAGTAACGTCAATCTCGGTGTCGTGGAATGTAGCAGCTTCTGACTGCGCTTATGACATCCTCGTCTGTGTCTGCCAAGGCCATGTTCTACGACGCAGAATCACCCCTTGATCATGCGGTCTGCCCAGGTATCAATTTTGGCTCGCCCGTCAGCCCTGCATGGCATATTTACACCGGAGGAAGGACGGAATCCATCTGGCAGACATACTACTGCAATGGTATTGGATGTGAATAAGTATGTCATTTAGGCAGATTGGGCGGAGAATATCCCATTGGAAATCTGATGGCAATATCTCAACTATAATATCCTCGAGCAGAATGTCGGACCACCCGCTGGGTGGTATTTGATACTTGCGGCACGGCGGGACTCATCCGTCCGGCCGTCCGACTGAATCTGCAGTGCTGACATAATCGCCATTTTCATACTTAGTACACGAAGTGTTCTCTACAGGACCTGCCAGATTTCATGACGCGAACTGGCGCGCAGTATGGAAGGCAGCTCGTTAACAGAGATTATGAGGAAGAGATAGAGCAGATTCGGTGAGTGATTGCTGTTGATCTACGTGCATCTTCTGTGCTGACAACTGGAGAGACGCTATGAGGATTTTACGACCATTGGTACATACATTTGGAGCTTACCGCATCTGTTAACTAACTACACGTGTCACACCGCCAGATTGGATTCAAGACTCGATAGTGGAACGAAACAGACGCATACGCAATGCAAAGGCAGCAAAAGTGGCCTACCGCGGTCCTAGCGGCGAGATCACGCCTACATGGGTGTGGGCTCAGTTATGGAGGTTTCTAAGAGCTGGAGAACCCTGGCTTGTGATAAGTCTAGTTGGTAAGGATTGCGCATTGTCATGATTTCTTAACCGACAACGTGCCAGGTATCTTCATCGGCATGAATGCCGCTCTCATTTCAATCATCACGGAATGGCTCTCGGACATCAAAATGGGCTACTGTATGGACGGGTGGTGGTTAAACTCCCAATTTTGCTGCTTGGAAGTTGAAAGTGATGAGGAATTTTGTCCCTCATGGCATCTGTGGAGTACGGCGACTCTGGTAGGATGGTTAATCTATGTTATTTTCGCGGTAAGTCCTCTCACACTTGATATTTTGAACTTGACAAAGTCCATATCTATCCGCAGGCCATATTCTCGTTTGTGGCGGCTCATCTTGTTCGTAGCATGGCGAAATATGCCGCTGGATCTGGCATTTCGGAAATCAAATGCATTCTCACGGGCTTCGTCATGCAAGGGTTCCTCGGGTACGCAACCTTCTTCATCAAGAGCCTTACACTTGTGAGTTGTCTTTCCAATCTCGTAAACAATGTTATCGACCAGAACTAGCCTTTAGTGATTGCTTCTGGGTTGTCCGTTGGTAAGGAAGGCCCTTCGGTGCATGTTGCGTGCTGCATTGGAGCTATCGTTGCAAGTTGGTTCCAGCGGTTTTCTCGAAGCCAAGGTTTGGGTTAACACTTCCGTATATATAAACATATCTTCATTCTCAATAATCAAGGGAAAATGCGTGAAATCATCACTGCCGCCAGTGCTGCAGGAGTGGCAGTTGCTTTTGGGTCACCAATCGGCGGTGTTCTGTTTTCTATCGAGGTACAGATCCCCATGTTTGCGGCATTCCCTTATTTCAAACCCGCATTTCCAACAGGAGATGAGCCAGATGTTTCGCATCAAAACGATGTGGAGAAGTTTCGTGTGTGCGTTGGTAGCGACATTCACGTTATCTGTCAGTGAATTTTCTCGCCTCATCTCCTATCTTGACTGTCCCATTTCAGGTGATGAATCCGTTCAGAACGGGAAAGCTTGTGCTGTTTCAAGTGACATATAGCCGTGATTGGCATTTTTTTGAGATTATCTTCTTTATCATACTTGGAATATTCGGCGTAAGAATTTTGCATCCCTCCGATTTCGTCCTTTGTTGACAACGTCATTCCAGGGACTCTACGGCGCGTTTGTAGTCAAATTCAACATGCAAGTAGCTGCATTCCGTCGAAAACATCTTGCAGCCCATGGTGTTGCAGAAGCTGTTATTCTTGCGACCCTTACTGCAGCTATTGGTTACTTCAATCGTTTCATGCGCATAGACATGACAGAGATGATGTCGATTCTATTTCGTGAGTGCGAAGGTGGCGGAGATCACGACAATCTATGCCAGTAAGTACCGCACTAATCTGTCAATCGGCCTACATTCTTATCTTTTCTTACAAGAATGGCTGTTCAGTGGCCCATGGCAAACTCTCTCCTTCTCGCCACATTCATACGCATGGGATTGGTCGTAATTTCTTACGGGGCGAAGGTCCCCGCAGGTATCTTCGTACCTTCAATGGCTGTTGGGGCAACTTTTGGGCGGATGGTCGGCATCATGGTGAAGGCAATGTATCGGTTGGTGGATATCACTTGCTCTCATCACAGAATCACGAGAATTCTCTAGTGCTTATCCTCACTCAGGGATCTTTTCGATTTGTGATCCCAATGTACCATGTATTACACCAGGCACTTATGCCTTTCTTGGTGCCGCGGCAGCCCTCAGCGGAGTTATGAGGATAACGGTGACCGTTGTCGTTATCATGTTCGAGCTCACCGGAGCATTGACGTATATCTTACCGACTATGGTGAGCATGATAGTCTAATGTTACGATCAAGAAAGTTTGCCTCTCGGAATTTAAGTCCTTGATACTGATTCTCTCTAGATTGTCATACTGGTAACAAAAGCTGTCGGCGACTTCCTTGGGACTCGTGGCATTGCAGATGAGGCGATTCGATTCAATGGTTATCCGATCCTCGAAAACGAGGATCACGGCTTCAATGTCTCAGGTCAGTATCCCAATTGCTACTTGCATTCATGCCATTCTTATGTCCACGAAGTTTCGGAGGTCATGAAGAAGGATCTTGATATTCTGTTTGCGTCTGGGATGATTGTCTCTGATATTGGTACGTTTGGACAGATCACCATTGGCTAGGAAACACTATTAACCAGTGCTTTGCAGAGCAATTGTTGGCATCTACCAATGTGAAAGGCTTTCCGATAGTTACTTCCGGATCATCTCAAACGCTTGTTGGGTACATGGGCAGAACTGAATTGCGCTACGTGCTAGGTATGTGTCCGTTAGCGTTTGACTCTCGTGTGACATAACATAGCCTAGATAAGGCCCAAAACGTGGGGGACATATCCCCAAGTACGCCCTGTGCGTTTACTAGAGGAGCCTCCGACCAAGAGGATTTTGTTTTATCGGATATGACCTCTGGATCAGCTCTTGGTGTAGAGGAAGACGTGGCAACGGAGCTTATAGAAACGAGCGCAACTATCGATGTGCTTAAACTCTGGCCTTGGGTGAACCAGGTACTGTACTTTGCGCGAGCTCTTTGACAATCTTTGACCTGTCTTAAAGACACCTCTTACTGTGTCTCCGCAGCTGCCACTGGAGATAGTAACACAACTGTTCAAGAGAATGGGGTACGTCCTACTTGACCTACACAGACAATGCCCTACCCTTACCTCTTATTAACACAGTCCCCGGGTGATACTTGTCGAGGAACACGGATCGTTGAAAGGTCTGGTAACCGTTAAAGATGTGTTGCGGTTCAACGCGGTAGAGCAACCTGTTGGGGATCTACATTGGAATACAGGTGAACTGGAAGCTATTCTCGATGTTATGTGGAATTGGGCAGTAGGAATTGCGGATACTTCCATAAATTGGTATAGACGCTTAATACGCCGGTGAGGCTACCGTGTCTACTTGCTGTCCTAATAGATTGTCTATGTACTGACTCATACTTCCCTAACTCTTGTTTGCATCGATCAATATGATAACTTGGGCGGTGTATGCTAACATCTTTCATATGCATCGTGTGCTCACATCCTGGGTCATCATCAAACAAGTAGTTGGGACGGACTCAAGAACATACTGGTGATTCTAAAAGGAAGGCACATCTTCATTATATCACCTAGACGTTCTTGTTGAAACCCCTCAACAGCGGTTTGGGCATAAATTTTCTACCCAAAATACCGTCCTGAACGTCTTGAACCTGTGCAGAAAATTACAGGTGAGGACTTGCGGGTGGGCGACAGCACCACTATGGTGTCGAGTGAAGTCTGGAATAATGATTGGCATCTGGTTGGCTCTATTCCAGTGACAGCAGAAATTTATTGCTGAACATGAAGTCGAGTGGTCGTGGACCTTACGAGCAATGCCACGTGCAAAGCACGAAAGATGAGGCCTTGAGGTAGGGAACCAAGTCACCGCGCAGACCGAATCTAAAAAGTCGAGTTGGTCGACACAAGTCATTGAAACCCTATTCTGAACCAGCCGCCACATTGGGTGTAACTGGACAGTATTCGTAAACGCTCGTAAGACTTGGTTTACATTTTAGGACGGAAAAGTCTGTTCCACCAATCGCCTTGCTCCATCACCAACGCCGTAAGCTCACGGTGAGCATCAAGCTTCTTTCTGACAAGCGAAAATGATGAGGCCCGTACCTCGAATTTACGTGGGACATGTATAACCGATCAATGAACGCTTACTGATTTGCTAATGGACCTTGCGATTTTTGGCGACGCTGCTGTATCATCTACGTACTGTAGGGCCACATGTGATTATGGAAATTCTGTGAACAACTGTAGAGCCTTGAAGTTTTCTTTGTGTTCGGATTGCCTCCATAAGCAGTAAAGATTTATCGCCAGTGTAGCTGTACATGATGCGGGCGGTACAGAAAGCTGTTGATATGACAGGATTTGGCTCACCTCGGGGAAATTAGGGAAGTCTCAATGACTAGCCTGAGATTTAGGACCTGTGATTATGACCGATAAGTACTTTGTTGTTTCCAGCCAATGAAACTCTACGTCCGTCTGTAACGACGCAATGTCATGCATGACATGAAACTCACGTTCGCGATATCCCCCAAACGATATCCTCCGCAAATGTTCGTCCAAACCCAACCAACATCAAAGACACCCGGGCCATCGCTCGACTCCCAAACGTTGGTAAGATATCCTATGGGAAAGGTACAGGCCTTACCAGATGAAACGGCCAGCACGGTCAGTACGCACGGTCTTTTTTTCGGTGATCAAGGAGATACCGCCGATACGATTGGTCAAGACAAACTTGTTAAAGAATTTTTTTTTGAATGCCCCCATCAGTGTCCATATCCGTGGGCAGGGGCCCTACAGTAGACAATACGTGCTGACTTTTTGAACATAACAAGAATCGAGATCTTTATCCTGTAACCTTACTGCAACCCTGCAGGATCGTTGTTCGTTTGCTGTGAGTCAGAGACTTTATTGAATTATCTTATTTTTCAAGTATTATCCTGAATACGCAATCAATTTAACCGAAAGTGCATACGATTTACCCAAAATATACAAACCTGGTTTCGTTAGGAACGTTGGTGGCAGATCATGATGCTGAGATCGTGAAGCCTACAATACGCACGGTCTCCTATTGGATTGACGAGAGAGCGGAGTACTCGTGTATCACGAGTGACCATAAAGCAATCGAGTTACTTTTACTGTTATCCGAGAGATATGATCACATTTGAAATCGGCTGCAGCGGGACGACAAATGCAGCACGACTCTTCGTCGGTTCGCCCACTCCAGCGTAATCGTAAAATCTGGGGTGAGATCTGAAGGGGAAGCAGAAGAGAATTGGCGGTCTTCATGGTTGCGGCTCCTGGAGTTCCGGGCACTCGCAGCACATAGGGCTTCCGAAATTCCCGCGTCGGGGAATATGTAAGTTCTAGTAGGTAATGGCTGAATAGGGGATTGACATCGTGAATTGACGTACTTAGACTTAAAGACACCGGTAATTGGGAAATGTCCGGTAGGCTAACGTACACGCCCTCGTGAGTGCGCGGCCTGTTCTGGTAACAACAATTAACTAAGAAAAAATATGTTCATGCTGTTCTGATCAAGTCACATCAGAAGAACGTGCTACGTACAAAATTAAGTCTATGCTTGCGATGAACAATCAAGCTATCACGGCAAACGCCGTCGAACTACATACGGGTTTTCACGGGTCGAGTAAAAAACTAAGGGTCCGGGGAAAAGGGCTCGCGGAACACAGAACGCGAAAACAGGAGTGTACTGAAGTCTATAAGACAGGTAAAATGCAACAAGCTCAAAGAAAGCGAAGATGGAATTCTGCGCTCGCGGAAAGACATCGTGCCATGCAAATAAAATAAAGTCCACGCTACCAGTGGACCGTGGGTAGTCCTGAGGAGAGAAGTTAATACAAAAGGCCATGGCCACTTGGATCTAATTTCAACTCACTCAATACCCACGAGTACGCACAGCGCCTGTCTGACACAGGTGCCCGTCTCGGACCGAGACTTTGAATGGATGCTAAAATTACTGCGGCCCACTAATCATAAAATTGTGGACGTGAACGACATCGTTGCGCGTTCCCCTTACTTGTGTTTTTTAAGCGCTGGTAGTTCCATTGCAGGTTCCGGCTCTAGCTGGGATATGCGCACGGGAACAAATACAGGTGCGGGGGAACTGTGCTTGGACGTTTGAAGGCGACCAGATGCAAATGGTTTGATAGTGGGATCTGATGTGAAATTGCGAATTTGTTGACATGATAGTGGTGGGGAGCCATGGTCAAGTAGCGAGGTCATATCATGCGCTGGCATATAGCTGCGTCGAGAATGCGACAAGGTGTCGAGTTCGACACTAAGCGCGGTAGGAGTATTTGGATAATCCATCTCTGGGGTGCGAGATTGCAGACGAGGCTTGAGCAAATTTTCAAGCTCGAGTTCCTCATCTCTTGCGCTGATGCGAGAGCTGAGGGAATCTATGGAGATACGCGTAGGGAAAGCAGACAAAACAGTATCTCTTGCTGCGAGAAGTGTTGACGAGAGTGATGAAGTAGATTCAAATGGTGATGAGGAGATAATGTCAATCTCCTGAATACTAGAAGTGGCTTGCGAAACAGCTCTTCGCTTGGTATGATGCACACGATGTCGAGGTATGATGAGTTGGGTGCGGAGGTCGATTGGATCTGATGGCCATAGCTGATTTGCATGCCGGAGTGCTGAAAGAGACACGCCATATCGTAGAGCAATTGCAACAAGTGAGTCACCGGGTGAAACCTACGAGCGAAATTTTGTAACATATTCATGTTTAAGGGCGGGAGAAGGACGGACTGTGTGTGGGACGTCATCGATGTCATGGTGGTTGGGAGTATCTAGATTATCTGTGGTATCGTCCGACGGCTCGATAGAAGAAGGGCAGTCAGGAACATCATCCGACAACGTCATTCGTATTTCACCGACATCTTTCATAATGCATGATACTGAAGACCTGCGCAGCGGGTGAGAGCTCGACACTTCTGAACAGCCAGCATCGTCCACATGGACGTGGTCGCTTGTGGAATCATTTCTATGAAGTCCGCCAGGGTGCAACGAAGTAGCGAGGCCGTTGGTGAGGAGCTCATCCCGCTCGTCAAGCTCAAGCATGCGGGTTGAGCAGAGGAGGCGGTGAGATCTTGAGATGCTAGCGAGCTCACAAATATTAATTTACACAAATAAATAAATATCACATTTTTTCAATATATTATGAACTTTATTTTGTTCATAAAGTTTCAGTACTAAGTTCAAGTTGTGGACCCCTACGTACAGTAAGTTGAAACTACATAGCCTTCCAGCACTTGTTGGTATGCATTTTTGACCTGTTCCTTCCACATCTTATATCTTATGCCCGTACTCTAGCTTCTCAACTTTGTGCCGCGCGCTCGCATCTCATCACGTTTTCAACTTACTAGATATACTATGACTTCCGCTCCTGCTTGAAGTTCCTGCATCTGTTTGATGTGACACCCATGTCGTGTCTTCGATGGTCGTAAGTGCTGCTATGAATCCAACCGCGTCTGTGGTAATTGCAGGCTGTTACCTATGTGCTTACAATGGGACATTGGCTTCGGGTCGTGACTCTCGGCGACTCAGAGAAGTTCAGCGCGTATTGGAAGATCGGTTCCGTTGTGAGATAAAAGTACTAATACGAAGGAACGGTTGTTCGGTTGGTCTGGCTAGGGGAAACAATGGTAAAAGGGGAAATCTCACGAACAAGACCTGCAATCGCCTAGCAGGTTTACCGAATTCCGGGACTCAAAAAGTGAACTGGCCAGCAGGAAGCAGGCTCCAAAGGGGGTGCTGACTTCACGATTACACCCTCATTCCATGCCCGATCGCCGGCCCAATTATTGCTTTGTATATGAATGGGTATGTTTTGCACTCCTGTCCACTGACATGTTTCCAGGTCTGAGTCCATCGTAATGCACTCCGCTGTGTTACGGCATCCGGATTGGGTTTACTTGGTATATCTTGTCCGAGACCTTAGCTCTGATGAGGTATATAAAGTAAACTTCACCGATGCAGTCTCACTCACATCACGCATTCGAGGAGAGGAGAGTCTTTCGGATTCAGGTCTGTCACAAAAATTTTATACAGCCCGTATAGATGGGAAATGTATTCAATGTTCGTCATAAGCGTGCAAAATGCATTCTGGACTGCTCTGACCGAGATTGTTTAACTCATCTTGTGGCTCCTCGTGCTTACTTGCATCATGATCATGGATCAAACTAATTGTGCACTTGTCGAGGTCCTATCACGAGAGATATTCCATCGATTGAAGGTCCAGGGGGCCTATCTTTGTCCAGAGTTTTTAGGAACCATACTTTATACCATCTCCTAAACGGTGTAGTGGCTGTAAAGTTTTTCGCGGAGTAGCTGAATTGTTCGTTAGGAATTCATCTCGCCCCTCAAGCTTCCGACATAGCAGTTTAGAACGCATTGGGAACGACTCTTAACCCTAACCTCACGATGACCTGAACGGGACACCTGGTCTGGTGGGTGCGTTCGATTTTTCTCATGACAGGTTAATTCAGACTGAAGACAAAATCTAGACAACGTATCCAGCTTTATCGCGGTATCGTCGTCTGGCTTATTGACCTTTTTTCAGATGCCGCACGCCGATGCGTCTTTGGTTCCAGACTCCATTAAGACTAAGTCTGAATTCTGGACTCATGTGCACGATCAGCTAGAAATTTTGATGGGAGGCCAACGACATTGGGTGAGCTTCGATACCATAATATTTAATTCAACCCCAAAACTAAATCACTTAATTTACATACAGGTCTCAAATTTGTCCAATGCCGCTTCGCTTATTTACAATTCCTTGCAAGCTTTTCCCAGCAATTTCGGGGATGGGGAACGTTCGGTCAACTGGTGTGGTGAGTCCCTCCACTTTCCACCGCTGGTATCGACAACCCAGTCAACAAAGAGTGATCGCCCAGCCCCTTCTCTTTCAAGTGTTGAGATGTATTGCTGACTGTGGACTTCAATTCTCGCAGGTTTCTATCTCATCTCTTCCCTTTTCCCTCAGCCACGATTCACTGATGCCTCGATGGACCCCCAATCTCAAACGCGTGCTTCCACTAATATGCTTTTGGGACCCTTTTCCGGCAGGCCTGCCTGCCAATGGATCGAGGTCTCCCCTCGACCTCGAGGCGTGTGTGGAGATGCATTTGTTAAGCGCAGTACCGTCCTGGTTCTAGACGTCTTGACCTACCCTGGGCATATTGCCTGTGACGGCGATACGAAAAGCGAGATCGTGTGTCCCCTCATTCTTCGGAAAGGGGGTGAAGATATCGTGGTGGGTGTTCTAGATCTTGATTGCCTTGCGATTGGGGGGTTCGATGCAGACGATCAGGTCGGACTAGAAAGAATTGTGGCACTCATCATCAGATCTTGTGACTGGTAGTAATACATCAAATGAAACGATGAATGATTACGGTGACTATTATGACCCTGCAACAGATTCCTGCTCTTTCTTCCACGCAAGAAATTCCTCATGCAATTTCTTTTGTGCATCCCACTCCTTCCGTGCCCTTTTTTGTTGGTTTTTACTAAGATCTTCCCCGCTTCCAGTGGCAGTAGGGAAGCCGCATTCATCCCATCGGATATACGCCCCCTCGGGTACGTTGGGAGGCCGGAACATCTCTTCGGGAGGAACTCGCCCTTTCTCTATCTTCGCAAGACGCTTCTGTCGTACCTCCTCAGCTGCAGCCGCCTTTTTCGCTGCTTGAGCATCTAATTTCAGCCGCTTTTCTTCCCGTGCCTTGATGAGCTCCGCCGGGGACACAAGCTTGACAAGAGCCTTGCCATCTATGGGAAACAGAGTCAGTTTGAAAGAAAACGAGGCATTTCTGCTCTAGATCACCTTCTTGATCATCGAGCGCGACGCCCAAAGACACAAGATCGTCATCGCGCAGTTTATCACAGAGCTTGAGTATTTCCTTCAAAGCATCATCGTTTTTAGCAATAGCCAGTTGACGAACGCCGTCTCTGAATGAAGACAGGATGCGAAGGTATGGCATCAGCGTTTCTTCTCGCTAAGCTGTATGATCAATATCAAATAGCATAGAAAATATACAACAAATATCTCACGTTCACGCCACCGGCGCCCTCATCTTCTTGCCCCCAGCCGATCTCGGACGCCTGCCCTTCGCCTAGCCCAAACATGCGGAGCATGTCACCAATCCATGTCGCGGATTGCTCCACCACACTGACATTGGCCTTCCTTCCTGAGCTGTTAATGTATATGTTGATACGCGAAACTAGGTCACGTATGACTTTGAGTGCTTCAGGTGTATTAAATGAGTCGCAAAGAGCCACACGGAAGGCCGTCTTGCTGTCGTACAAACTGGCAGGGCGTCAGGGTATGGCATTCGAGAGATATTGCCTGTTTGACCTTTTCATGAGTTCTCGCTCAGCATCATTGTGGTGATGCTCTCCATCCGACTGGTCCTCGTGTGCCCGTGCTTGACTTATGATCGCTCGGACATTGGTGAAAAAATTCTGTAAGATATTTTAAAATACAGCGGATATTAAAATGCGGAGGACTTGCGTTGAATGTAACCTCGAGGGACTTGACTTCGCCCGTCATCATCGATTCAGAAAAATCGATCTTTGCATTCCATAGCTGCGTTAGGAATGCGAGCCGCAACTGTCGGGCTGTGAACCTTTGAAGTATCTCCTGTGTGACCGGCCGCATGAGTGAAGCGGAGAATAGATCAAACACCCAAAGTACCCACGTCAATCGTGATGAAATTTTTCAGCGATTTGCTCATTTTGAGGCCTTCGATGTGAAGGTGACCGGTATGGATAAAGTAGTTAACCCATGCACCGCATTCGTGGTAAGCCTATCACCACCTTTGCTTAGAAATGTCTCTAGAAGGTACTGCGGTGAACTAACCTCTGATTGAGCCATTTCATTGTCGTGGTGTGGGAATGCAAGGTCTATACCGCCAGAATGGATGTCTAATCGATCTCCCAGAATGGCACTTGCCATCACAGAGCACTCAATATGCCAGCCTGGGCGACCTGGACCCCAAGGTGAGGGCCACGAAGGTTCTCCAGGCTTCGACGCCTTCCAAAGCGCGAAATCAGAGGCAGATCGTCGTCCTGAGGTGGACGAAAGTACGCCTTGACGTCCAAAATGGCTAATGTTACTGATGGAATACCCACGACAGAATCAACACACCTTCGCCTTCAGCCAGTAATTCTCTATTCCCTTTACTCCAGGGCTCCAACTTGGCATAATCGTGCCGATCGGATGAATCGAATGCACCTGTATCAAAGTAGACACTGCTTTCGAACTCATAGCCATAACCATTCTTGATGATGCCCTGAACGAATTCAACCACTTCAGGAACGTATTCAGTGACGCGTGTAACAGTATCTGGGTAACGGACACGAAGCCGCTCCATGTCTTTGAAAAATCGACCTTCCCAGTATGCTGCAAGAGAGCGAAATACAGACTGGTCGGTGACAGTATCTTGGAGCTATGCACATGAATAACTAAACTGCCAGAAAGAAAGCATAACAAGAGAAACTAACTTTCTTGTCAAGGGCGGAGGCTAGAATATCACGAGACTCATCAATAAGTCTGAGCGCTGTGTTACCACTACTCTGATTGGCAGATAGTGCATGCCTTGCAGCTTCAATAGCGGCAAGGGTCCGATCCTACATTGGTAAATATTGATTATACACCAGGAAAAGCACAAGAGATCACCTACAGCGGCTGTAAAATGCATGTCAAACTTCTCGTCTCTCTTTAGGCATTCGAGTTTGCGGCTCTGATCCCGCGCAAGTCCAGCAATTTGTGGCCATCGTATCTCTTCATCCCCTCTTGAGGGTTTTTCTTCATCCGGCAGGCCCTTCGAAACGTTCTCCCTGACATAGCTTCCCCATGCTTCACTGACTTGTGACAGTAGATCGGCTGAAAGCGCAGTTGCGGAGTTTCTAAATTGTGAAAAGAGATAATTTTGACGCGCTCTAACGATGATCTTCAGGACGTGTAAGACGTCGTTTCGATCATACAGCTAGGTGATCACGCACCTTGTCGTCTATGTCGGTAATATTCATAACAAAGTGCACGTCATAGCCAAAGTAGTCTGACATTATTCTTCGCAAGATGTCTTGCGTGACATAATTTCTGAAACCATGTCAAAATTGCAGTATATTCAACCAGAGAGTAAACCCTGACCTCGCGTGACCCATGTGAGAGGCATCGTAGACTGTGGGACCGCAGTTATACCATTTGACATGAGAACCATCGATGGGTATAAATTCCGTCTATCAGCAGTCAGCAGATCGATCTAACACCCAGTTCAGACACGCACTTTGGTCTTGGTTAACGAATTGAAGATCTTAAGAACAGGTTGGTCAATTTGACGAGGAGGTGGGTGCCATGCCGGTTGCCGAAGAGCCATCACTGCGTCCTTCAATGTATTCACTGACCTCCTGTGGGGCGCAGATGCTCGATAGCCAGAACGAACAATAATATTGACCGGAGTTCTGATCATGCCATGAAGCCAGAGCTAGCTAGCTGGAGTCACAAGTGTGCTTATGTAATAAGCGCTGCGGCTAGTCCAAAGTTGACGTGGGTTCCGAAGTGCCAGCTTACTAGGTTTCGGTACTTTCTCGTACATATCCAAAGACGTTCAGCTTCATGCCAGCATTTCAACCTTTCACCGCGCTAACAGCGAGACTGAACGCTTGGTGCTTCAAAGAGCCCTTATCCCGCTTTCTTTCGCTAGCGTAGGTTGTGGCCGCCGATCGGAGGTACTTCATGTGACGTTGAGTATTAATCTCTTTTCATCTGCATTGTCAAGTGATTCGGAACTTCGTCCACTGAAAGGAAACTTTGAGACCCTCTGAATCTTACGAGGGAAAAGAGCTAGCTCTCACGCAGCGGCGATCCCTATAAACAACGTTCTGACTCCTAAACTCGGCTGCATGATGACAGGTCCCCTTCGTATTCGTCTACCAGTGTAATCCGGCATTGTTCTCACAGAATCCTTAGATGTCACATGAAGCTCCACACGCTCTGTCGATGTGGAGATGCAGTGGTCCTATCTGATAGGCTCTCAGTCACAGTCTAGCTGCTCAAGGCATATTCGGCCTTGATCTGGATGCAATCGAAGCTGAGCTTTCGGCATTGTACTAGCGGATCGAAGCAACGAAGGTCACGCAAGTTCGCTGAGCGGTAAATACATTCTGAATGGGTAGATTTTTTTCAAATTTAATGAAGCCCACTTAACTTTAGTCTTTTAGTGATAATCTTTCGCGCTGTCGGAAATTATAGTCTCGTACGTTTCGCTCCCCGTTACTCGGAGTCTGATCATGCCAAATACAAATTCGCGTTCCATGTCTCAGCTCAAGGTTTGCCTAGACACATGTCGTTTGCGCTGTCGTAAATGACAGTTTCGTGCTACTCCCCATTCTTCGGAATATTTTAGGTCCGATCGAGTGAAGATGCAATGGTCCAATTGTTTCAATCTCAAGGTTTGCTAGACAGGTGAATACTTTCGCTATGCATCGAATCTACCGAACGATCGTGGACCATGAGTTCTTGACCTAACCACAACTAGTTTGTGATTGACCATTCTTGATGAACAATTCAAGTTCTCACTGCTTTGCCAAAGAAGGGTCGGTCGCAATCTATATGCCTTTCTAGGGTTTAGTCTGAGAGTGTCTCCGACGAACGAGGGTTACCCTTAGACTTTTGGTCTAACACAGCAAGATCATCATGATATCAGACCGGTCACCAGCGGTGCATGCGAAGGTGAAATGCTGCGATGGCCTTGATCAGTGTAAAGCGATGCAAGTATGACACCTATCTCGCAGACAATAGACAATTGGCGGCCGGTGCCACGGGGAATTACCTAGTACGTGAGAATCTCGAGTTTTGCGGCAGGTACTCTGATTGCACTTAGAATCTTTCCCCACCCTGTCGCCGATAACGTACCTTGCAATTTGAATGAGCACTTCAGAGAATTGCACTGGTGCCTTCTTTCCACATACCGCCGATAATATCCAGCGACACCCAAGCACATGATACTCAGAATAAATACTTAGAATATTTGATTGGCCGCGAAGGCCTGCGCGTTTCGGCTGTCGAAGAATAGTAGTGGTTCCTATTTTTTGTTCGTATCCATACAGTGCCCCGCCGGAGATGGAATAAGATTCTAAAACTCTATCTTGCTGCATACCCACTCCCTTAAATTTGTCCATGAAAAGGCCATGACTGTCTAACCGGTTTCCCATCGGGCTGCAGAGCGCTCAACCACCCGTGCCGCGGTCAGCCTATCAGCTGCCGTGTTACATCAGAACGAAAGTTAAGGTTAGTATATCATGATGTTAAATTCTCGTCAGACTCCCTTGTCCCTCGTTATTTAAGGAGCTTTCCCATTCCAT